AGGATGGCCCGTTAAATCAACATAGTTATGTTTTATTTTTTCGGACATGTCCCACATCCGGCTTGGCCCTGCCGGGTCACTGACTGGCACGACCCTAGATGAGGGCCGGGCCGGGCCGAGCCCGAGTCCGGCCATGATTTTGGCCATATGTAGGTTTATAGTATGTTAATGATCTGTTATCACATCAATTGATTGAACATATTAGCATGTGTCCACGTAAGAAAAAAAAAACAAAAACAAAAAAAATGCATTTTTTTTTTTTGTTTTTCAAGAATGATTTATAAAAGGTAAACATATAGATATAGTCAATTAGTCCCTTCTAAAAATGAACTATCAAATTATATGTCAATTTAAATAACGATTTACAAACCACTAGTTCTTAATTAGTGTATATTAGTATTTAATTTTTTAAGTTATTAATTTATCATTTCTTGTTCCCATATTCTGCAGCTGTATATAGGCATAATGTGTACACACTTGCAATTACTCAAAACTTAATTAATCTTACTCACATAATATATATATATTTTCATTATTTTTATATTCTTCTCACATTTTCTTTATTTAGCTGTGATATACGCAATGCCCCCTCTTTTTAACAACACTCGATTTGTGTGCTCTTCAAACCGCAAAATTTGGCCAAAAACCATTAATTTGCTCTCATCACTTTCAGCAACACACATAACATTACACACCAAAAACCCTAGCAAAAGGTCAGCATATTTGATTTTCTCTCTTCCTTTAGAAAAGGCTTTACTCTTCGGTTTCGACGTTCGTTTTTCTTTTTATTTTTCGTTTAAATCTTTCTCGGCTCGCCCGGCGATTTATCTTTTGTCCTAGCTAACTAGCCCTTTTCTCTTCCGGTTACCAATCGTGTTTTTTTTTTCTTTCTTTTTACACAAAAGTATCGATTATCTGTGAATTTTCTGTTGGTGCATAGCTAGGGTTTGAGGTTTTTTTTCAGCTAACTAGCTAGGGTTCTTGGACAGTTACCAACTTATCTTGCATGATTTTATGAAATAGTTTTTTTTTGATGAAATTAATTACAACAAATTAAAAGTTGCAGTATATATAGAAATATTCTCATACAATTTATAATCTTGGCCCCTTTTTTGCATGCACGATTAGTAAGTCATTAGTGATTAAGCACGGATTAATTTGTAATTCGAATATGAATAATAATATGGCTGGGAATGGAGAGTTATCAGTCCCACCGGGATTTCGGTTTCACCCGACCGACGAGGAATTGCTGTATTATTACCTGAGGAAGAAGGTCTCGTATGAGCCGATCGATTTGGAT